AATTCCCTACCAGGAAGTAATTTTGTCCATGATAGGGCTTCTGGGTTTTAAGAGGTGCATAATATGGCATCATCAACATGACAACTGCTCACCTTCAGAGCCGCACACATTAAAATAAGAATAGTCCATTCATCTTTAAGGTGTATTTCATCACATATGGATGATCAAAGTGTGATTTTACTTTGAATATGTAACCCACAAATAGCTATGATATTAGTCCTGTTCAGTGGAGGACTATGGATGCAATCAAGGGGCTTCACAAGACATAGGGGGACTATGACAAAAAATTATAAAAAGCTTAAAAAAATGGTATTAAATGAACATAAAATGGTGCTGCCCTGGCCCAGAAAAATTATTAATATGAACATTTAGCTCAGTGCGAATTATATGGGTTTACAGAAGCTCCTTATCTGATAGGGATCCTGAAACCAAGGCTTTTTTTCAACACATGGCATTATTGTTTGGGGACCTTTTTATCATAGCAAGAGAATACTTTGATTGGTAAAGTTGCAGTCTGTGGTGCTAAAGATTTACTCGCCTCCTGTCATTCTGAATGACCATAAACATACCACTGATGATTACATGAGAGAAATGAAGTGAGAGAACCACTGGAAGCTAGAAAGAAACTGAATGCCACTCTCTAAAGTAGAAAGCAGCTGAATTCTGCATAAGGCAAAGTAAAAGCAGATGTCTCCAGCAAAGAAGAGCTGGAGAAGAATTCTGCAGTGTTGCCTGGCAGCAAATAATTATCTACCAGTGAGCTATTTCCATATATGCCTACAACAGAATCCCACACAGACAATCAGCACAGGGGAAGGATGTGTCTTGGCTGAAAGCAACAGGCAGGCTTCACGTTCAGCAAGCAGAGAATGCCTAGCAACTTCTGGAAGTTCTGCAACAAAAATGCAAAGGAAGGGGATCTTACTGGCATGAACAAATGGACATTCCAAAAGTGGAAGCTCCCCTTCCTTGGCCTACAGGAAGCCAGATGTTAACCATGACCTGACCAAGGAAAGGGGCTTCCTAACCTCAGGCTAGAACAGTGAAAGACTCTGAACAAGTACTTCAGTGAGAGGAAGAACAACCACACCACCACAGACAGGCTCCAGTTCTATCCAGGATCCCTAATCCAGAGAGAGTATGATTGGGATGTCCCTTTGCTTGTCCTCAGGAAGGAGATTTACTAGATATGACAAAAATATTCTCTCTAGTCATGGACAGAGTTACATTCTAGAAATAGGATTGATGAAAGTTGGAATCCCAGATAGATTAATTACAAAACCATCCGTGATCTACTGACCAATAAAAAGGACACTGCTTCTACAGGCAACAATCTTGTAAAGTCTCTATAACCATTAGGGCTAGAAATAGTAACACGAAAGTTCTGTGCCCATACCTTACAAGATGAGTATATTTACAGAATTCATATTTCTGGCTATAATCTTCTGCTACTAACAGGAAGAAGCCACATTTTTCTATCCAGGTGCAACAATAGTAGCAGCTTTCCAAAATACCCAGCTTACTCAGAACATGCGTATCCCACTTACTCAGTACTGTTTAAAATCTAAAGGCATGCCGGTACAGTGTGACACAGACAAACATTCCTACATCACTCTTGCATTTGGTACTGAACAAATACCAATTCAAACACCACAAACAAATTCTGTTATCACAAACCTTCAACTCCAGGCAACCAAAGTTCCATTTTATCTGCCTTCTTTCCATCCACACACATAACACTCTTCAGTCGCCTGTGCACTATAAGCAGATGCAGCCATAATTTTAATATGCACCCATTATGATCATAATTGAATCTGTACTGTTCTTGAGCCATTTTGCAAGCTTCAACATGAGCAAGACACCCTATAATTGAATCAGAGGGACCTGTAGCAAACTGATCATTAGTTTGTCAGAATGTTAATTTTTAACAAGGAGGGAGCATACTTGGGGTCTGGTAGATTTTTTTTAAAAAAACTAGTCTGTCCATCTCCATACCCTAATTCTTCTTTTACGTACATTCACTCGAGTTACAGAATGTGCACTATTAGAGACAACCACAAATATCAACAGATGGACAAATTAGTCACTGTGATATCCAACCTCAATCTATACATTACAGCCACCGCTTTACATGCCAATCCTAGCCTCGATGATATATTGAAAAAGAGGGAGCAGGAGAGTCTTACCTGCCAAGACCCTGTTAACAGAGGAGTGAGTGGCCAAACCAGGCTGTCCACGTTCATGAAAAATCCCAGCATAAGGCAAGTACTCTGGCAGCAAGAAACGCCTAGAATGGAGAACAAATTTGTAAGAAATACTGCCAGGCCACCAAGGATCTGGGCAATGGACTACACAGTTGCCATGCCCTTGCTGAATACACAGGTCTTACCTGGGGACAAAACGTCCAAGGGATGGTGCAGACATGCGAGCATTCCGAGGGGCTCGGTGCCTTGATCTGTCTCCATTGTCCCTTTAGGAAACAAAACACATTATTTTTAATTCCATCTTGCAAGGTGACACTCAGGTCTTTTGATATTCACCCCATTCATAGGTCTGGTAGAGATGACTGCTGTGGCAAAGTGACTGCCAGAAGGTTCAGCTGAGATTTTAAAAAGATGCAGGGACAGTCATCCTTTAGAAACCAGATCAGACAGATCACCTCCAGGTTTACCTTTTCTTTACATTATACAGAAAAACTTCATAATGGAGACCTAAGGAAAACTGAATCTTGGAAACAAGAGAACACCAGTTATTTATAAATAAAGCATTATTTTTTATTTATTTATTTAGACATTTTTACCCCGCCCTCCCTGCAAGCGGGCTCATTAATGGAAATGACTGTTTTAAAACCTTTTTTCTGAACAAAGACACCACTTAAATTTAGAAGGATGTTGGTACATTCTGAAATCAAGCTAACTGAACCACAGATTGGGCAGTTCCTGCTAATGATCTTAATTATTGCTAATGATCTTAATTATTGCTAATTCTATAAAAGGCTATTTTGTCCAGCACTATTCTGCAAGTAGCCAAGAATTACTCCATTTGCAGAAGGGTCACGGTGAATGCAAAGATTTCCTGCTCTCACCCGACCCCAATCCCAATCTGTGTTTTCTACTCTAAAACCTCCCTCCAGCCTATTATGATGCAGATCAATAGTACAACGACATGTAAGACCTCCTGCAAGGAAAACACATGTGCCATCAAATTGATACAACTCTCTTCCAGTCACTTTGACTCTTTACTGCTCCTGGTCTCCAAAGGGTTTGGGAGTAGAAGAACCTTTAAACTTAGGGGGGAAATTCAATTAGCTAAAGCTGTGATAGAGTTTAAAACAGATATGCACACATACACACAAAACTATCAAGAATAACCAGGCTTCACAGCTGTGTTGTGCATGCTAAAACATAATAAAAAGCCCATGCCAGAAGCCCAATCAATTTTTTAAAACATTGTGTTATTTTCAAAATTAAAGTGTAGTATTTCCTTTTGTCTCTTCAGTGCCTAAGACATACTCCAACCAGAGATTTAATATTTCTTTGACACTATGAGAACCTGATTTTGTCAACAAAAGCTCAAATGCCCTCTTAAAGACCTCTTTAAAAGTTTAGAGGAAAAAGAAGCGACAAGATTTATAATAAAAACATTTAAAAGTAAATGTGAAAATTAGAGACCCATTATTCAGTTACTCTAATTTTACATTCCAGCACTTGAACAGGCCAGATCTGTACTAAGTGCAGAAACACCATTAATGAAAAAAATGAGGCAATCAAAAATAAAAAACTGAATTCTGATAAAATTTGAAGTGCCAGGTTCTAGAATGTCTATTTTAGTCCCTCCTCAGAAATATTTTGCATCAGGTAAGAAGAGAAGATGAGGGATGTGGAATGGATCTCAGAATGGGAGATGGGAGACCACCAAGGAAGACTCTGTAGAGCAAGGTAACGGCAAACCACTTCTGTGTAATCACTTGCCCTAAAAACCCTATGGGGTCATCGTAAGTCAGATGTGACTTGACACACACAAGAGAAGATGAATCAGGGCAAGACTGTATCATTCCTCAATACTGGATTTCCCTCATTATGAATCGGCTGGGGTCTATGCTTGTAAGCAAGTGCTGTCAAGTTACAAACAACTTACGGCCACCCCAGCAAAGGGCTTTCAGGACAAGTGAGAAGCAGAAGCGGAGAGACTCTGCAGAGTCTTCTTTGGTGGTCACCCTTCTAAGTACTAGCCTTGAGATCTGACAAGATCAAGCTATACCATGCTGCCTCGCCCCCCCCCCCAACTGGGGCCCTAGCTGGATACAAATGTGCCCTGTAAGAAGGTCAAGTTTGTTTTAGTAGGCAGTTGATGAGACAATATCTCCAGTAACTACTCAGCATTTAATCTGGCATTTCTGGACACAGTGCTAAAGTTTGTAATTGCAGAGAATCCTGTTCTGGATCCAAATTGACCCAATTTGCAACCTCACTTTGGGATTCAGAAGACTTTGACAGGTCTATTGGATGCTTTGCCTAGAAGCCACAGACAAAACACCTCCCAGTTGGTCCACCTGGATCTCAGTAGTTTTTATCTTTATGTCATCCAACTGAGACAACCTAAAGAACTAAGCAGGAACAGGAGACAAAGCTTTGTGCTTGGTAGGTAGGCACTTCCTTCCTAGGGGTGCTACAGGTTATGTATGATGTGGCAATCAAGCAGTTGTATCTGCAGTGAGTCTATAAGAAGCCCCTGAGAGTCTATGTCTAGAAACTGTTCATCAACATGGTCTAACTTTCCTTTAGAATTCATCTGGGCACTGTAGTCTTTTCTCCAAACCAGTGTTAGGCAGCCATGCTCAGGTAAAGGAGAACAGACTGAACCTGAATCCTGAGAAGATGGAAGTGATAGTGGATTGAAAGCCCCACTCTCCAGGAGGTCCATTTTATAGTATCTGCCAACTATAACCCAGTATTTATTAATCCAAACATAATTCTAGTTTCATAGGTGGTAGCCATGGAGAGCAGAGTGTTCTAACAGCTCCATCATTCACCAGTCTCAACTACAAGGACGGCCAGGATGGGAATGTTGTGGCCATTACCTGTGTTGTTTTTTTAACATTCAGGTTTGACTACTGTGATGCACTTAATATGGCATTACTCTAGAAGAGTGGTTCTGAAGCTTCAGCTTGTATAAAATATAGCAACCTGCTGTTGTGTAGGCATGTGCACATACAAGGCACAATCATCCTGATTTTGTGAAACTACCTCTTCAAGATTAGGCTGAAGTATCTGACACTGTAATAATATCTAAATTGTAAATGATGGCAAAAGAACTGGTTCACATCCCCCCCACCCACATACACTCAGATTTATTTAGACTTTTATTTGCTTTGTGGCATTTTCTTGTATGGATATTATTTGGTCTATAAGCTAGTTAATTCACATTTTAGGGAAAGCAGCATAAAAATGCTCATAAGAACAGTTTCCACACTGCAATGCAGATTCAAGGACAAGCTAAAGGCCATGGGAAGAAGAACATTATGAACCAGCTGGATTGATAGGTCAGAGGGGAAAACAGCTCGATCAGCTCTCTAGAACCTCTCTGGAAGTTCCTTGCTGTCAGTTTCTCATGCCTCTGCATCTATGAGATCTCTCTCCCTACATCTCCCTACTCAAATGAAACTGGGAATTAATCAGGATTTCAACAAGGGTACAGGCAACTGTCCTTGCAGCCTCAGAGCAAAAAGCACTGCACTAACGCTGCAAGCTGCTCACCAGTGACTATGTGTTACTGCCTAGAGGTCTCTGACCAACCCTGCTGGAATACTGCTCTTGATGGAACTCAATCCAGGAAAACAATTTATACATCCTTGTCGCTATACCAGGGCTTCTCTCGTACAAAAATTCTTGCACCTATGTCTAACATTATTAATTCTCTAACCATTATCCCACACACACACACACACCAATGTTGGTATTGTTTATTTTTGTTTTTATGGAATGATCTGGTGGAAAGGTGGCAAAAAATGTTTAAAATAAAAATAAACAACACAAAGGAATCAAAGACGTTGGAACTGCCAGCTCAAGGTTATTTCACTCCCTAGAAGTCAACTAAAACTAAAACAAAACCCCCCAAAATCGGATTGCTTGAGATGAGTGGGTGGTCTTTTCTGTATGCCTTAAGTAGCATGTAAACTGTGCCAAAAAAGGGTGAAGATAGCAGATGTTATATGACTACAGTGTAAAGACAAAATAACACTGCTGGGTTCAAAATTAGTTTCAGTGATGTTCACCTAGTTTTCAAAACACACCTCAGATTTTAAAACACTATATTAAGATTTACAGTCTGATATTTATGCCAATCAAGTTCAGTAGAAGTCACTCCAATGTAAAATATGCCTAGGACTGTAGTTTTTGATTTTCCAGTCAAACATACTGAAATTAAGAAATTACACACTTAGGGTTGCATATGCAACTAATTTAGCAACAAAATGACTTTTAATAGAAATTATTGTATTATAACCTCTTTGGGATTTCCCCAACAGCATGTAAAACAAGTTAAAGGGTAAGAACGTTGGGTAGTTTTTCTGTCAAAACGTCCCAAGGCACCAGAATTTCTCAGACGTAAACCGCAGGGTTCAAATTAAACAAAACAAGCCGAAGGATCATGGTCAGGTTTTTTCCAAGTAAAGCGTGAAAAACAGATTCCTGAGGACTCCAAACAGAAAGGGAACAAGTTGATGAAAAGCTGTTGATCCCAGCCTAACAAATGAAGAGCTCCAGGTCAGTGCCACTGACTCCTAAGCAGGGAGGAATGAAATGGAAGAGAAAGTGACATTCTGTGCAGAAAGTATGCAACAAAGGAACTGAGCTCAGTTACTTAGAGCTCACAATGAAGTGGGGGGGTCATCATTAATGAAACAACTGGTGAGAACCAGTGGAGTGGCAGAAAGGATAGCAAATTGGCAGGTATAGGTTATATCAAAAGTCAAATTGCTGAGGAACTCTGGCAGTGTGCATGGGGGATGTCTTAAGCAAGGGAATATGAGAGGGGCTTAATTGCGGAGCAACATTTCCAAATAGTGGTGTGGGGGGGAGTTACATTTCTTTTTTGATGGGGCTGACAGAGCACTGTGATGCTGATCCCTCTCACTGCTCACAGCTACAATAACAAACTTACTGGTTACTACAAGAGCTCTGACAGGATGCCAATTGCTTTCAATGCCTCCACAGTAAAAGCTTTATCAAAAGCCTAGTTCAGGCCCTGGTCACAGAGGCCGGATATCGCGGGGGGGGGGGGGGGGGCATGGCTAATTGCCCCAGAGGAAACTAACGTGCGACTGCCCGAGCACACGTCCCGGTTGAGGTCCCATGGTTAGGGGGGAGATGCCGACCAGACGGGTATCCTGCAGCGTGGCACAGAAGCTGCACCGCGTGATCGCACTAGCAATCGCTCTTTGTGCGCATGCGCTGTTGGGCGCTGTTGCGC